TGCAGGACACAGATCACCCAGATAAACGACCCTGGAAGTATAGCCTTCAGCTCCTCTGCCTGCAGCTAACCAAAATCACCTAGGCTGTTGTCACTGAATGGAAATGAGAACTATTTCCTGCCAGAAAACTTCGGTTATTGCATTCTACACTATGATGAGTTCCTTAGGTGTTTTTCCAAGTTAAAGTAGGTGAATAGTCTCAGGTGTATCTTCCCAACTCTTTACATGCCTGATCGACTGTGTAGGTGTGCCAGGTGGGGGCGAAGGGAAGGATCCTGGGTCCCCATTGCTCTGTACTGGGTAGACAAGTTGGCAGGGCTTGAGGATGGGAGGTGAGAGGAGGCAAGTGGAATGTGTGTGGATGGCACCGACAGACGAGGCTTTGTCTTTGGGCAGGATGTGACTGAACCTGGTGAAGACAGATGGGAAAGGTCCCCACCCTCAGGCACTATCTCAGAATAGCTTGAGATCTTTGATCCCAGACAGTGATCTCAAAATACATATATGTATTTGGGCCCTGATTAAAAAGTTGGGATCAAAGATACTTAGGAGAATTTACATAAAAATCTGCCTGCGACTTTCATAGAATCTGAAGATTTGCCCTCATTGAAAATGGCAGCAAATCCCCTGGTGTAGGTGACATAGAACACACTCCAGAGTTGTGACACACGTATACCTGACTGGCTTCAACCATTTATGTTACTGCTAAGTGTCAAAGCTGTTTTAGTTTGCCAACCCAGGATTGGAAACTACAAAGCACTTTAAGTATTCCTAAAGGGGAGATATATTCTATAGCCCCAGTTGAGGGGAAGACAGATAAGCCACGTTATCAGCTTTAAAATGGCTAACATTTATTAAGCACTCGTGTGTAACAGGCCTTCCACTTAGCATTTGACATAGATCATCTCCATTAGTCTTCATCAGCCCATCTTACAAATGAGCAAACCAAGGTGTAAAGTAGTTACCTGCAGATTATCCTATACTTAGGTTGCATTGCATGTGAAATGTACTCTACTTCAGACTGTTCCTAATTAAAGACAAAGCCTTACAAAGTTTGGTATTTCTGCTTCGCAGCTAAAGGGGGGTCTGGCATTTGTTGGTAGAGGGATCAAAAACCCAGTTTAGGGTGGCGCCTGTGGCTCAAGGAGTAGGGCACCGGCCCCATATCCCAGGGTTCAAGCCCAGCCCTGGCCAAAACTGCCAAAAAAAAAAAAAACAAAAAAACCCCCAAAACAACAGTTTAGAGGTTATTTAACCAGATAGCTTTGGAGTTGTAGCATTCTTGACAGATTATAAACAATAGCTGTTCACTTACTGGAAATTTTGCAAATGAAGTGAGACTCGAATATTTTTATTTGCTGAGTTTGAATAAAATGCCACTTTATTGTAACTTGTTTGCAATCAAGTCATACAATCAACTCAGACTCCAAGAAGTGGTAAGTCTAATAACCTTTCTTACCTGCGGGTCTGACAAAGTTGTCATCGTCGCTGAGTGGGTGGGAGAGGTTGCCGACATCAATATTTTGACATCGTTTTTCTGATGCAGTCAAGCTGCGGGCGATTTGGTTCAAGAGCTTTCTATTTAGGCATTGGAAGAGAAGCCTTAGATTTTTATTTTTCAACTTTACCTTTGGATTTGATGAGGTTTTTTTCTTTTTATGAAGTTAGCTCACCAAAAACTATAAGAGAACCTCTGTTTTCTTAACTACCTGCGACATTTGGGGAGCAGATTTTGATACTGGGAGTTGACTGTTACAATTCCGTGTATCTGTTTACATCTTCAAAGAATACATACATATTTCCTTCCCGAAGGTGTCTGCGTAGGTGTCTGGAGCACACATTCTGGTCTAGAACCAGCCTGGGGTGCCTGGCTCAGCCCTCTGCTCATCTTCTGTTGCCACAGACCTGTGGAGAGGCCTTCGGGAATGGGGGGTAGGAGCGCGGGCACTATGGGGTCAGTGGAAGGAGTGGTGAAAGCGGAAGGGGATAGGTGGATTTATTTGCATCTCCACGAATAGAACTATAGGTCTGTATTACACGTGCTACTGTAGGTGACACTATTGTTGTTATTAGACGTGTGGAAATTTCAAATACTAGTCAGGAAGTTTTAGTCAATGAAAAGCCTGTAATAAATAAGATAGCCTCCTGATACGTGTCAGCGTTATTGCTGGGCATGTTTGTTATATGATCATTAAAGTCCTCTGGCCCTGTTCTTGTAACAATAGAGCATTGAAGCATTCTCCTCTGTTACACACTCTAAATTCCTTCCCAGGCCTGATGAAGCTTAGATAGCAGCTCAGTTAAACTGATCGGTTTCCGGAGCTTGTTACTGCCCCGTGCACAAATTGGCACTGAAGTGAATGGCCGGCTTCTCAGTGCATCCCTAGCCTCTTGGTTTTAGACCCTATCAAAGCCCAACAAATAGTTGGGAGTGTGCCCAAGCCCAGACCCATCTCCTGTGGCACTCCTCCAGAAAACACACTGATAAAATTGGCCCAGTGGAGTTTCAAAAGGCCCACTGAGGCTCACAATGATTTCCTTCCATTGTTTCAGACTTGATGCACGTGGCTTCTGGAACCAGGAGAGAGGGTAAATATTCACTCTGGCCAGCACAAATTATCTTGGTTTCTCTCCCTTAAGCAATTAGGTGCTTTGCTGACACTCAGGGGTTTTGTTCTCATAGTTAAGTCCTCTAAAAGTGAGTCTTTCTCTATGTGTTTTGTAGAAGCAGCATTTAGTAGCGGATGTGCTTTTTTTGAGTTTTTATGTATATTTTTTTCAATATTTTAATCTGAGCTGAATTCTGAGGCAGAGAAATACTTCAAAATGCCCCTGAAGAACGTTGCATTTTCTAAGGGACAGGCTTTGAGATCAAGTCGTAGAACTTTTTGGACCTTCGGAGGCTCTGGTCCCTCTTTTGGGAAGCAACTGCTCCTGGTGTCACATAATTAGTTGCAGCAGGGACTAGATGACAGGCATCCAGACCACTGACCTTTTCCTTTGAGTGGAGCCTTTCAGGAATACAAGATTTTGGCACTGATGGAGTACTTTTTCTTTCAGACACATATTGAGGGGAGGCTGAGATGGTAGGAAATCTAGCCTGTAATTGTTTGTGGCTTAAGTGACTTTCATGATTGGCTCAGTGGCGGCTCTTATAATCCTAATGGCTGCTTCCAGGGACGGGTAATTCCCTAGTCATTATAGGTGACTTCATTTATCTCTCTTTCTCCAGCTAGGCCCATCATTTCTGGCTGCCACCAATCACCTTTCCCTAAGCCATCCTTTGCTTGGTGGTACCATCATTTGTTAAATCTTTATTGGAGTCACCTCAAAATTTCTGAAAGATGTTCACGCTAACAGCCTAACTTCAGCTCTAAGGATGACATTGCATTGACATTTTTGATGTTCAGAGGCAGGATATGGGGATTGCTAGCTGCATGAGGATATAAAGAATGAGAGATATGATGATTTAAGCTTTAAAATCATTAAAGCCAGTTACCATGCAGCCTTACTGTTCTAGTTTGTAGGGTGTGTGATGCCTGGTTCCATGTTTTCATGCTACTATTGGAAGTGACTTGGCAACTGCATTAAAGATGATTCATTGAACCGCTAGTACATTAGGTTGGGGCTCTACCCAACTGGTCATTTTACCAGGGAAGCAACCCTGCCACTTCTCAGGGAATATATAACCTGGAGTCTTGCGTGTATCCTGCATGTATGTTTGAAGATAGGTTTTCACAATGATGGAAATAGCTATCGATCTGGATAGAATGTGAATTTACCCTTAGAGAAAGAGCCATTCACTGTTTCATTGATTTATTCATCAATTTTTAAATGGACACCTTCTGTGTGTCAGGCACTGTCCTGGGCGCTAAGAATACATCTGTGAAAAGCATAGGGGGGAAAAAAAGCCCATCGCCATTTTACATCTCCAGTTCTGTCATTTTCCCTGCACATTTTACATCCATATATATATTTTGAGACAGGGTCTTACACTGTCTATCGGACTGGAGTGCAGTGGCTTGGTCATAGCTCACTGTAATCTTGAACTTCTTGATTCAAGTGATCCTCCTGCCTCATCCTCCCAAAGCACCGGGATTACAGACATGAGCCACTGTGCCTGGCTCTGTAAAGGTATTTTTAAAATATGGCACTGTCCTGAGGAAGAGAACAGGCTTTCTGTACTTAGCCTTTTCTTTTTCCTATTCTATATTGTATTTTTTCCATGGAATAATTAAAGGTTTGCTATTCTCTAATAGTAATTTTCGGTAGGGTTTTTGATACGGCTTTTTGCTTTATTTTTCTACCTGGTTGATACAGGTTGCACTTAGACAAAGAAAGAGAACTTCAGGTTATCGCCTGATTTGGTAATTATCAGGTAGGAGGAGGACAAGCATTAAGAAGCACATACCAACATAAGAGTGTGGTTCTTCCCTGCGGTCCGGCACCTCCCTGGCACCTCCCTGCTAACAAGCGAGGGTGAGGGTGACGGTTCCTATTGCTCCTCCCCTCTAACTTCTCCCCTCAGCATTTTGTGGAATAAGCTGACATTTTGCTCCTTTGTGATTGGTTCTGTCTCTTTGTAAATTCAAATATCTTTACCCATTGTTTTCAAACAGCCAGAAAATTCAGGAGCACTTGCTAAACAGGCTAGTCCCTGAGTGCCACACCCATGGATTCTGATTTTAGGGATCTGGGATGGTAACTCAGAATCTGCTTTTTCAAAAAGGAGTCATGCTAATGAGGACACACAGAGAGAGAGAGGTTACTTTAAGAACGACTGTCTAAAATGTTCTAAAACCAGTTTCCATGGGGCTGAGCTGGCTGTTAATTTTATGTACCGAAGAGTTCAGATTTACATACTGTATGTGTAATTAAGAAGCCAGCAGCCACCTATAGATGTCACATAGTACCCACGGAGACTAGTGTTATTTGCTCACCAGTGGCAGGAGAAGGTTGTCACAGCTTTGCTAACCAGCTTTCTTGGGATTTCTCCATAGGCGATGGTGGCTTGCTATCCAGGAAATGGAACCGGTTATGTTCGCCATGTGGACAACCCCAACGGGGATGGCCGCTGTATCACCTGCATCTACTATCTGAACAAGAATTGGGATGCCAAGGTACTTTGGAACAATGGGAGTAGAGGAGACGGTTAGAAACTATAGGAAAAGAATTTGGATAACTTAGAAGAGAGATTTGAGATCCCAATCAGCCCTGTTTCTCACTGAGGAGTCTTCTCTGTTTCATCTTTTTCTCCCCTCCTCCTTTATAATGGATATGAAGTTAATCTGGGGGGTGGTGGGTAGGATGATTATTAGGGTGCGGGAAGAGTCATCGATGAAGGAAAGATAGTTTAATATTGAGATTAGAGAATCAAAACTTTTAGTCGAATTCCGAGCTGATATGACTCTCAATGCAGAGATTTTTTTCCTTTTCCCTTCCAGCAGTAACATTGAGAAAATTCCACAAAAATAGAACTGTAGGATATAAAACCGTACCCAAGACAGAGTTCCCACACAGTCTTCTCTCTGGGGGTGATATGTCTTGTTGATGGCTGCTTGCCATGGTTTACTATGATCTGTGAATGCCAAAGGCCCTGTGGCTTATTTTTTTATTATAGAACATATAGATAGAGATATGAAGTCTGGTTCCATGCTTACAAACATTTGTCTGGACTTTGGAAGCTTTCTGAATGTTAAGAATGATTTAGGAGTCTGGGAAGTCAGAGAACTTTTCAAGTTGATTTGGCTTTTGAACCCTCTGCATCTCCATTTCATGTTTGTTAGGGTAAATACAGGCTGCCAGAAAGCAATCATGTCTTGTCTGGGGTCAGAAAAAATGAAACCCAGGAAACTAGCGAATCAGTGAAAAGGCTTGTCTCTTCTCCCTCCTTGGCAATATGACTGGAATACACCCGTGAGGTCTCCTTTAAATTCTTCAGAAGTGCTGTTGTAGGAAAGGGAGTGAAGTTATCAGGTTGAGAATAATAAATCGCAAGGTTTCAAATCATTCAACAAACATTTGCTAGTGTTAGGCACTGTGCTGTGGGGAAGCATGAATGTGTGAGGCCTGACTATGGGTATCTAGTGGGGAAGAAGAGGTATATATGTTAAAAAAAAAATAATGCAAGGAAGAGAGTAATATATGCCATAAGAGGTGCAGATGAAGTGGTCCGGGAGTTCAGAGAAAATGAGATTAACTTCCAATTTACGAGATCAGATGGGAGTTCAGAAGAAAAGCTGTAAATTCTAATTGATGGGGAAGGTACCTGTGATGATTATCTTAGGAAGGTGTTAATATTGGAACCACATGAAATTGTTAGGGGGGTTTTGTAGGTCAAAAATAGCCAAATATTGGCAGTTCTGTATGATTCAATCTAATGGTGCTCTGTCTGAGTCCACGGGCTTCGTGATTGTGGAAGATGGGGAGGCTTTTTTGGTATAAGGTGAATAAGGAGCTACCTCTAGCCAAGTCTGAAATAAAATTTGGTACAAAGTAGGAGGCTGAAGTCAAAATTTGGGGATCACATACAGTGGGAGTAGCGGTTAGAAGGTGGCATTGTTTCTAGATGGGGCTGGAATATCGTTGTTGGCAAACTATATGTAAAGCCAGGAAATAATCTACCTTGCTTGTGGCCCTCAGCTACATGGTGGAATCCTGCGGATATTTCCAGAAGGGAAATCATTCATAGCAGATGTGGAGCCCATTTTTGACAGACTCCTGTTCTTCTGGTCAGATCGTAGGAACCCACATGAAGTCCAGCCTTCCTATGCGACCAGGTAATAGCCAGGGGCAGACCCCTCTTCAAAGCTTTTATATAAACCCCAGTTCCCAGAGAACTCTCTAAACTTGTGTCCTGTGCATGGGGGACTTCCCACACCCCAAAGCTTATAGAAAACCTATTTGAAGTTGAGAAAAATTAAAGGGGAAACTTGAATTCTTTAGTATATGAAACCTACCTTCAATACAAAATAACTCTTAATAAAATTGTTTTCTGATAGGTGGGTATACTGGATTCCAAATTTCTCAGCGTTTTTTTCTCCTCTCCTTGCCCCTCTTACCTCCTCTTCCCCTTTTAAAAATCTAATTTTGATCCATCCCTAGAGAATGTTGGCTGTCACATATCAGGAATTCTGTCTGATTACTCCAGATGAGTTTAGAAGTTGCCAGTTGCAAGCGGAGAAAGAACTTTGAAAAAGGAAAGACTAAATTGTTCTGACTTCTTTTTCCTTTGTACCCTTTCCTTAGCCTAAAATTGGCTTGGACTTGGCGTATCCAGATCCCAACAATCCCAAAAATCTTTTCTTTAGTATGTGCATGTAAATATTTTCATTAATACTGAACAATTTGGAATTGTTTAGTGTCAATCTAGATTTTTTTTTTGGAGTCAGAGCCTCAAGCGGTCGCCCTGGGTAGAGTGCTATGGCATCACAGTTCACAGCAACCTCCAGCTCCTGGGTTCAAGTGATTTTCCTGCCTCTACCTCCTAAGTGGCTAGGACAACAGGCCCCTGCCACAACCTCTGGCACATGGGGCCAGTGCCCTATTCCTTTGAGCCACAGGTGCTGCCCATGCCTGGCTATTTTTTGGTTGCAGCCATCATTGTTGTTTGGCAGGCCTGGGCTGGATTCAAACCCTCAAGCTCAGGTGTAAGTGGCTGGCACCTTAGCCACTTTAGCCATAGGTGCCAAGCCTCAATCTAGAATTTTCTTTCTTTTTTTTTGTTTTAGACAGAGTAGAGTGCTGTGACATCACAGCTCACAGCAACCTGACTCAACTCCTAGACTCCAGCGATTCTTCTGCCTCTGCCTCCCAAGTAGCTGGGACTACAGGCGCTTGCCACAATGCCTGGCAATTTTTTGGTTGCAGCCATCATTGTTGTTGGGTGGGCCTGGGCTGGATTCGAACCCACCAGCTCAGGTGTATGTGGCTGGTGCCTTCGCCTCTTGAGCCACAGGTGCTGAGCTAAATTTTCTTTCTTTCTTTCTTTTTTTTTCAAAGCTACAAGGTCTTGCTCTTGTCACCCAAGCTGAAATACATTGGCATTATTATAATTCACTGCAACCTCGAACTCCCAGGCTCAAGCTATCTTCCTGCCTCAGTCTCCTGAGTAGCTGGAACTATAGTCACTAGCTACTACACCCAGATAGTTTTTTTATGCTATTTATAGAGATGGGATCTTGCTATGTTGTCCAGGCTGGTCTCAAACTCCTGGCCTCAAGTGATGCTTCTGCCTTAGCTTCCCAAAATTCTAGGATGATAGCTGTGAGCCAGAGCACCCAGGCAATCTAGAAATTCTTGATAAAAATTTTAATTCCTGATTTTGCTTTTGATTGACCTTTGTCTCTGGCCAAAGCTGCACAGTAGGGTGCAGCTGGTAATAGCACTTGGGGGCAGGAAGAGAGTTTTGGTAGAACAATGACTAAACCTTAATGCGTCTAATTAAATTAAAACCACATATGTCCTCCTCCAGAAATCATAGATCCAAGCCTCAAACGGAGTTACATAGTAACTGCCAAACTAGAATGTATTCTACATAAGCAGGCCACTAATTCTACCACCAAGGTCTGCTTGTGACTTGTTTCACAGGGTGTAATGATTGGACCCTGTCATTTGTGGCAGAATTCTCCGGTTATTCTCCGGTTATTCCCTGGACTCAGCAGAGTCTGCTTGCATGACCGACTTCACAGGGAAAACATTAGCAAATGTTGATGAGAAGCCCTTGAAAAAAATCAAGTATTATAGAAATTCTGGTATCTTATAATAATTATAAAATGAAACTTAAAAAAATCCAAGCATGAAATGGCTTCTATTACAGTCTGTTCCATGGATGGGATAAAAGCAAATGAGTGGGAAAGCAGCAGGAAGCTTGAGGGTATCATTCAATTGCATCTTTGCCTCAATGTCCAAAATTAAGGGAAGCCAAAGTTTTAAACCTACTGTGATTTAAATAAGTTATTCTTAAAAGCTTCATGAAAATATCACCTCCTCTGCTTTGTGCTGTCTGTACCAACTTGGATGCCCCAGAGTGACTTCCTTCTAGTGCTTTCTGCAATGACTATAGTCCCAGCTACTCAGGAGACTGAGGCAGGAAGGTAGCTTGAGCCTGGGAGTTCGAGGTTACAGTGAATTATAATAGTGCCAATGTACTCCAGCCTGGGTGATAAGAGCAAGACCTCAGCACATTTACCCGATGCATTACGTGTTAAATCACCTGCCTCCCCTGCTTGAGCCTGAGGTCTGGAGTGGGATGGAGACCTGTTCCCAGGATCATTGGAACTCCCATCACCCAGAATCATGCCTGGCACGTACCTGGAGCTCCTTCTGTATTTAGTACAGTTAAATAGAATGACAAGCAGAGAAATTAACTTAAAAACTTTTAATAATAGGAAAAACTTTACATGTTGGTTTTACAAATTACTTTAGCATGAGATTCGTAGGAAGTTTGATTTTTAGTAGTGTTACTCAAGCTGTTTTCTTATATCTGCTTCTCTTTCACAGATACGCTATGACTGTTTGGTACTTTGATGCTGAAGAAAGGGCAGAAGCCAAAAAGAAGTTCAGGAATTTAACTAGTAGGTTTGATCATTTTCTGTCACTTTTGGTCCAGTCAGTCCTTGGTTTTTATTCAATTTTGCATATTTTCTGAAATACTCTATCCAATCTCAGTTATGGGTTAGCTTCCTATATAAAGCTATCTTCATGAGTTTAATCCTGAAAACTGGCCTTAGGTTTCTTGGGAAAATTAGGAAAAAAACGTGAAGGGCATCCCCAGAGAATGTCCGCAGATTGTGTGTTGGCTTATGATAGATGGGAAATAATTAACTTCTTATCATGAACGTTAACCAGTCAAACATAATGTTGTGCCTGTGATTTTGGCACGTTGTAAGGGAAATACAATGGAACCCAGTTCCAATGGCTGATTTATTATATTGGGTGAGACTGTGACTCTCAGTATAGAAGCAGGACTCAGGAACATGACTCAGTGCCGCATCTGGCCCTTCTAACCAGTCTCGTAAGACAGTGTTTTCCAAAGTATATTGCATTAAAACAATCCTGCCCAGTGGTTTATGAAAACTAAATTCCTTACCCCCCAAATGTGGGCAATGCTCCGTACTGTATCCCTCTCTTGGGGAGTCACAGTGCTCATTGGCATATCAAATTAAGGCTTTACAAGATCTTGCAGCAAAGGAACATCCCTATCTTTGCCCAACCCATACTCCATTTAGGCTGTGTACCTATCAAACACCAAAGAGAACACCCTTTGAAAAGTTTTATCAGGAGGCTTTACTTTTCCTTATAAGATGATAGGAAGTGTTTACTGGAGGCTCTTTTGTGATATTTGTCATATAAAACTCATCCCAGCTGACTCCCTACCCTCTTTCTTCTCTTTTCTGTCCCCACTCCAGGGAAAACAGAATCTGCCCTCACCGAAGATTGACCATGCCCTGACATTCGCTGGCCTCCTTCGTTTTAGTAACCGTTCCTGAATTTGCTTTAACAGTTGAGATCCAAAGATGGCCTCTTGAGTGATGACAAATATCCGCCTCCTGCTTGCAGCGTTCACATCCCTATCTTATGTGGTACTTCGTGTTTTGTTTCGTTTTTTTCCAAAACGGCATTGACCTTCAGATGCTCTCTTTGCCAGATGAACTCATTTGCTAACTCCTGAAATTCCTGCAGACAACCTAGTTGGCCAGCGGTTTAACTGATAGATTTGGTAATACTGGCTATCGAGACAAGAGCCTAGGAGCCCAAGCGAGGGGATGAATCTTACTTGCACTTTATGTAGACGTCCTGATTTGAAAGGAGGAGGTTTGCAGAGGAAAAAGAAAGTGGTGGCAGATGCCACAGAGAAGCATCACGGAAGCCTTAACAGCCGGAAACAGAATTTTGTATCATCAAGACGATTTCCAGATGTTCTTCATCCTTGGCTGTTGGTTTCCGGAGAATTATCACAACCTAATGACATTATTACCTCTAGAAAGGGCTGCTGTCACAGTGATTTTATAAGTGTCCCATGGAGTGGACACTCCTTTTTCCTACTCCAACAACCTGGATTTTCTGCCTCTGCCCCATTTTCTGAAAATAATGACTTTCTGAACGAAGATGACAACACCATTTATTTTCTATTTTCCTTTCTCACCTGGAGAACCTCATTCTCCAGAAGCTAAAGCTAGATATTGGTTGTTTGGGTTGCTCTGTCGGAATGGAATTTGAATTTAAATCAAAGGAAAACAGCCTCCCCGGTAGTTTAGTGTCAGCCTCTGATAACAGTGTGGAAAGAGCTACTGATAGGCAGTAACGCGCGGCTTGAGTAATTCGAGAGGGGAGATGGAGTTGGAAATGTGGGTGTTCCTGTTTTTGGCTTTCCTTTTTAATGAACCCACCCTTCTTCTTTAACAAAGTTAAAAAGAATAGGGTGCTGTATTCTAAAAAGGAAATGGAAATAAAAAAAAAAAAACCCTCAAAAAACTGAGTTCTTCTACGTTGTCTGTGCCTAGCAGCCTTTCTTCAGCTGTCTTGACCCTTCAGATCCACAGGGGTAGGCAGTGTGGCCAGAATCATGGAATTTGCTAGAACTGTGGATGGTTCTACTACTGCATTCTGCAGAGATGCCACTGTAAGAACTCTGTAGTAAAGCACCTATTTTATAAAAGTTCCTCGTTTTCAGGTCTACTTTCATGATTTTTAAATCCCTTTAATTTCTTGCTTGAAAATCTCACGAACATTAACAAGTCAGAATTATGTTCTGTACATATCTACACTTTCTAAGACAGAAGTTTAATTTTTCCTTTTCCAGTCTCGGGAAATTTCCAGATGAGACTTGTCATCATTCATGCTCGCGACGCTGTGTTTTGTTGTATCAGAGTACTTATCCCCTTCTAACATCCTGTGTAATTTACTTATTTATTATGTTTATGGTCTCGTATCCTTCCTCTAGAGTACAAGCACAATGAAGACAGGGATTTTGTATGTTCTTTAAGCAATGCATACATTCCCAGCACCTACAGTAGTGCCTGGCACATAGTAAGGGCTCCCTAAGTACTTTTCGAATAAACTTGATCTCCGATGATAGCATTTTCATGGTTTGATTCATTTCTTCCATCTTTGGCAAGAAGGGTTTGCTAGAATTCTTACATACATCTTCCTAACAGTGTCGACTTTATATAGAGTTTTAGAAAGCTTTGGTTGCAGGGTCATTTCATATTTGTTCACCTATGAATAGGTCACTGGCTGACCACTATGAATCTGAAATGTGACCAAATAATATTTCTACCCTTCGAGATCCTGAGACTCTAAGTGTAAAATAAGAATGGCTTCAGACAGGACAGAGTACATCCGTCCTTTGGAACGTTTTGAAAAACTTCTGAGAGAGAAAAAGCACGATGGTTAGGAATATCATATTCTTCAAAATGATAACTGTTTTGTCCCCATGATTGCTAATGTCATGAGAGTGACGGTGACGATATTTGGAAGGGATATCAGGTAGCCTAATAGTATGTCTTATATCTTTCATTTTAGTTAATATTTTGACTTGCCAAAAGGTCTGACTCTTAGGCCTTGCTTATTTCTTCCAGACAAACCTCCTCTACACAAATAAACTATATAACAAATAAATGTTTTATGCACACTGATTTTTCAGGCCTGAATTTGAGTCCTGGAAGATAAAGCTGGAAAACACAGCTTTAATACTTCAGGCCTGCTTTTTTGCTCTTCTCTTTGCAGCCATTTAGGGGAGGACTTAGCCCTGCTAAGAAACATTATTTGGCAAATAATCTGATCAATTTCATTTATATTCCTGGCAATGAAATGTTAAGAGCCCGCCTCACCGTTACGTCACCTATATAGTGCAGAGCCCTTGGTAGGAGATTAAATTTTGAACCAAAGATCCAATTTCATGGAAATAAAAAGTCCTACCTAAGTGCATTAAATAGATCTTTAGTAGAGTAGTTAATACCATTTAAATGCTGGACTGTCTGAATTATGGATAATCTATTCAGACATGATCTTGTTTTTCTTCTTTAACTCAGGTTTTTTAAGAGGTTGGGTCATCCTAATCCTTTTGGCCACTTGGTCTTGAAATTTCCTGTGTTTAGAAAGCAGTGATGGGAAATGCCTTGCTGGGTCAGCAGTTTGCGTGAGACAGACAGGAGTTTGGACATGGCAGGTACCTTTATATTTGATCAACTAGGAGGATAAGCACAGGAGATATTCTTAGGACAGTTATTTTAATTAAAAATAATATAAAGCTGATTTAGCTTCAGTCATGAATCTTTTGAATGATATGAGAAGAATACCAGTTAGTGGGCGGCACCTGTGGCTCAAAGGAGTAGGGCGCCGGCCCCATATGCCAGAGGTGGCAGGTTCAAGACCCAGCCCTGGCCAAAAACTATTAAAAAAAAAAAAAAAAAAGAATACCAGTTAGTGAGGTGGTTAGAGATTATTGTCAGAATTGAGGGGAAAAATATGCTATTCTTTTCAAATGAAACTTTCTATAGTTGAACTCTTTTGGATAGTATGTACGGGATTATATTAAAGCTCGAGTCTCTGTTCAGACCCAGTGTACCCCATCCGAAGGGGGTTTTCAGGATGCTCCTCTCTCTTATTGCTGTGTTAAGTTAGGTCCTTTGAGAGGCTGGGTTTATTATAGTTTTATCTCCTTTATATTTGCAAGACCGGGGTCAGAGGTCAAGGAGTCGTGATGTAAAGAAGCTGAGAACAATGGGTAACATGACAGTGAGTACTCAGGGGACGCCAGTATTCCAGCCCTGTGCTAAGGGCTCCCACGTCTTCATTCCTCGCAGCCCCCGTGAGACATCTCTTCCTCCTTCACAGTTCAGGACTTGTACCCAGAAGGCTTGGGTGGCCTGCCCAAGGGTACACACCACGGAGTGGCCCACTGAGATGTGACTTCCAGCTCCCCAGTGTCTGTTGTCCCTGGTTCCTCTGTCCTGTACAGGGGATGCCAAACCCAAGAGCAGGGACCAGTGGAGCTGGAGGGGGAGCCTTGAATGCTTGTGCTTGATATTTTGCCTCATATTATGCTTATGTACGAGGGTGTCATGCACGGCATCCTCAGGGAATGTCAGTTATTCAACAAAACCCACACAAGCAGAAAACCCCAGCTTCATGGTTGAATTCTCCCTCAACTTTGCCAAGGGTTCTTTCCCATGGGCTTCACAGGATTGTGGGGGAATTTGGGTTTTATATCCAACATTAGTCTCTCGTGCTGATGCTGGGCATGGGCGGCCTGGGTGTGCCCTCATCCATTCATTGAGTGTCACGGGCCATTTGGAAGTGAAAACAAATCAGGAGTACTTTGGAAGCCACCCCTGCTGCCACGGCACCCTGGGACATTTAGGCACTGTGCAAGACGCTGCCCTCATGTCCCTGTGTCAGATTTACTTAGTGGTGGGGGGGGCAGGGGGGAGAAGGGAAATCTTTCTCTTTTTTTGGTACACCTGACTTCCCAGCTTGGGCTTGAGGTGGACCTGTCAGTGGCCTTCTCTTGTTGATAGTTCTGTGTCTGATAAGTGCACTTTTATCATCTCTGAGCAATACTGGGAGGAGATTTTTTTACAAACATTTTAAATTCTCAAAGGCATGTGTACTATTTCTACCCAATCTTTTAAAGGTGTTCCGTAGAAAGATGCTACTTTTATTTCTTTAAAACATATCACTCTTTGGCTTAACTACTAGGAAAGATGACAAGTGTTGAAAAAAAAAATACCAGTTTTTTTCTTTGTATCTTGTTTATTTGATCTCTGATAACCTTCACACTTGGAAAAGTCAGCTTTTCTGGAAGCACTTGCTGCCTGTGCTCCGAGCGCCAAACTTTCTCAGATAATTTATGAAGGCCATTTTGTAATTGTTTTTTTTTAACTTAGAGAAATATCTCCGATAGACGATGGCTGTTGTGTTTTATTGGCACAGTTTTGCAAACAGATTTAAGAGCAGTTGAGTGAAATCCATTATTTTAGGAGTGGGCAAACACTAGGTCATTAAAATTAGTTTAACGGGCATAGGCCTACCTTGGAGGTACTGTTGGTTTGGTTCCAGACCGCCCAACTAAATATTACAATAAAAACGAGTTGCACAGATTCTTTGGTTTCTCAAAAAATATAAAAGTGCATATAAAAGTTTACATACATTCCATTCAGTGTGCACTAGCATGGTCAAAAAGTATTCATAGATATCTTCATTAAAAATACTGCTGCTAAAAATTGCCCGCCATCATCTGAACCTGAATGAGTCATGATAGTTTTGCTGGTGGAGAGTCTTCCCTCCGTGTTGGTGGCTGCTGAGGGTTAGGGTGGCTGTGGAAATTTCTTATAAAAAAAGATAAAGAAGTTTACTGCATCAGCTGACTCTGCTTCCATGAAAGATTGCTCTGTAGCCTAGGATGCTGTTTGGCAGCATTTTACCCAGCGTAAAACTTCCTTCAAAATTGGACTCGGACCCCCCTGCTGCTTTATCAATTAAGTTTATGGACTATTCTAAATCCTTTGTTAGCATTTCAACAATGTTCACAGCCTCTTCACCAGGGTGGATTCATCTCAAGAAGCCACTCTTTGCTCATCCAGGAGAAGCCACCCTCATCCATTCAAGTTTCTTCATGAGATTGAAATAATTCAGTCCCATCTTCAGACTCCACCTCCAGTTCTCTTGTGCATCTACCACATGTGCAATTACTTCCTCCACTGAAGTCTCGAGCCTGTCAAATTTATCCATGAGGGTTAGAATCAGCTTCCAACAAACTCCTATGGATATGTGGCCCTCCTTTCATGAATCTCAAATGTTCTTAATGGCATCGAGAATGGTGAACTCTTTCTATGAGATTTTTAATTTATTTTGCCCAGATCTATGATAAGAATCACTATGTATGGCAGCCTTAGCTTTATGAAACTAATTTCCTAAAGAATGAGACTTGAAAATTAAAATTACTGCTTGATCTATGGACCGCAGAGTGGATGCTGTGTCAGGAGGCAGGAAAGAGAGATTCATCTTATACATCTCCATCAGCGCTTGTGGGTGAGCAGATGCATTGGTACTAAGTGGTAATATTGGAAAGGAAAAGTCTCTTTTTTTTTCTGAGCAGTCGATCTCAACATTGGGCTTAAAATATTCAGTAAGCCATGCTGTAAACAGATATGCCATCATTCAGATTTTGTTGTTCCATTTATAGAGCACAGGCAGAGCAGATTTATCATAATTCTTAAGGGACCCAGGATTTTCAGAAAGGTAAAAGAGCATTAGCTTTAAAGTCATCAGTTGCATTAGCTGTAACAAGAGAGTCAGCCTGTCCTTTGAAGCTTGAAGCCAGACATTCACTTCTCTCTAGCTATGGAAGTGCTAGCATCTTCCAGTGTAAGGCTGTTTTGTCTACATTGAAAATCTCTTGCTTAGTGTCGCCACCTTCATTGATGATCTTACCCAGATCTTCTGGATAAGTTGCTGCAGGTTTTTTTATCAGCACTTGCTGCTTCACTTTGCACTTTTATGTTGTGGGGATGACTTCTTAAACCTCATGAACCAACCTCTGCTGGCTCCCGGCTTTTCTTCTGCAGCTTCCTCATCTCTCTTAGCAGTCGTAGAATTAAAGAGACTTAGGCCCTCGCTCTGGATTAGGCTTTGGTGTGAGGGAGTGTTGTGACTGGTTTGATATTCCATTCAGACCGTTCAAACTTTCTCCATATCAGTGATTAGGCTATTTGACTTATTCTTGTGTGTTCATTGGAGAAGTACTTTTAATTTCCTTTGAGAACTTTTGTTTCACAACTTGGTGCAAGAGGCCTACCTTTGGGCCTGTCTTGTCTTTTGACATGCCTTCCTTACTAAGCTTCTACCTTTTTTTTTTTTTCTTTTGAAACAGAGTCTCACTCCTTCACCTGAAGTGCTGTGGCATCATCATAGCTCATAGCAACCTCAAACTCTTGGGCTCAAGTGATCTTCTTACCTCAGTTGGGACTATAGGCGTCCCATGCCTATAGTAACATGCCTGCTAGTTTTACTGTTTTTAGTAGAGATGAGGGTCTCACTCTTGTTCAGGCTGGTCTTGAACTCCTGAGCTCAAGCAA